ACGTAAATATGTGGGGGCGTGTTAGAACGAGCCATTTTAGGTAGGTGTGGCTGACTCCTAACTTTGAGACTTTAGTCTTTGCAACTTTACAGATCTTCTTTATGCACCAAGAACTTGTAACACTCCAAAGAGAAAGGAAAAATTGAAATCGCATCATATGACCCCTTTAAAGAACAATGTAGAAATGGGTTACAGGGACCGTGATAAGATTAAAGATACACCCAGTTACAAAGTTTAGACATAACCCTATAGCATCGTGGTGGTGAGTTTCGCACGTGCAAACACCACTCTCTTTTTCCATCTAGTTCGGCTCCTAACAGGGCTACCATTGTAAATGGGGAGCAAACCTTTTGTAGTCACTGATGCTGCCAAGGGTGAGCGTTCAGCTGTTGAGAGGTCCTCCACAGTCTCATGCAATAACACCAGTTATAGTAAACCCACTGCCAAAGCCTTTTACCAGTCCATTTAACCATGCTGTTAGCACTCAGATGCTAAGAGCCACTTTCCCCTGGCACATCTTTGCTGCATCTCATGCTGAATATGTTGCGCAAATAAAGTTGTACGTAGTGGGCTAGTAGCCAGACACAGCACTGCACGATGGCTCCTATTCTCAAAAAGCTGTCTAGCTGTATATGAAAACCACTCCCCCGTTTCCTTTCCCTCACAGATGCCTTTACCTTCCACTCTCTGAGGCAAACATTCATGGCACGTCGAATTCAATTATACGTGGGCCTCCCGATACAGTACGCAGGGCTGCGTCTGCTGTAGTGTGTACTAGTTGTGTTGCATGGAATTTGTATGATGAAGAGGGTCATTGAGATAAAGTCTTTGGGATTGGAGGCCGGTGGAGAGTGGAACAACATGCTGTTATGAGTCCAGCATCTACCACTAGATCTCAAGAACCCTCGAACCAAATACGATCAGCTTAGAGACACTCAGATGTTGTCTCGATAGCCGATGTTATAATTTTTTGGGGATATAATCACTCAGACAGGAGTTCTCTTCACACAATGGATCTGGTTTTTAGTTACAAAATGGAAAGACTTATTATAATCTATATTTTCAGCTTTTGTTTTTGAACTGAGTCTGAAGTAGTGTTGCATCATCTTCAGTAACATTGAAGTTTGTCAAATGAAAAGGAGGGCAGTGAGCGGGGGACAATTGGGTAAATGGCAAAGGCCTAGTCTACAGCTCACTGTGGGACAAAAAAAAGAACAGAGCTGTGTTCAGATAATATATACTCTTCCTCTTTAAAGTGGCTTCCAATCCTTTCATTGTACCCCGGAAGATTAATTACAGAAAGCCAGAACAATCAGTTAAATCCACAACAGGAAAATTATTTTAGGAAAGGCAATCATCTTTTTGCTGCACTTCAGTTCCCTCAAACAAGGCGAATATTAAGACGTTTTTAACTTAAGATTGTGGACAGAGACTGCCAAAGACCTCAGTGTCTGTCTGACACGGCCAGCAGAGGAGCTGGACTAGACCCACCAAGACCTAAACACAGACCAGTACCAGACCTCTTAAGACTGAGATTAGAAATGGTCGTACATTCCCACATTCACATGAGACGGTCCATCAGGATGACGAACACCAAGAGAGACTGGCACATTCAAAAACGAGCAAAATTAGCCCAAAAATTACCATACAAAACTACAGAGAATTTAATGTGTACATGTTTTTTAGTTTTTTTATTGAGGCAAAAGTCATAGTTAAGAGTTAGTTTATAGTGAGAATTAGTCCCCAAACTAAAGTGTGGCCTTTAAAAAAAAAAGAAATGGTAACACTTTAGAATAGGGAACACTAATTCACTATTAACTATGACTTTTCCCTCAATAAATTCATAACAATTAATTGTTAGTAGTGTAGTTGTTACGTTTAGGTATGGGGTAGGGTTAAGGGATCTAGAACATGGTCATACAGAATAAAGCATTAATATGTACTTAATTAGTACTAATACATTGCTAATATTCTAGTAATATGCATGCTGATAAGCAACTAGTTAAGAGACCCTAAAATAAAGTGTTACCAATTAAATATATAAATAAATGAAAAATGAGTCGTCTAAGGTAATTGCAATAAGTCATTATTAGCAAAGCATTAGCTGTTCAGGTTTCTGTTTAATTTTTACTCAGTAATGTTATGTTTCTTTTTTTTCTCTCTTTATTTTTTTCTCAAGTTTCAAATATCTCGTTTTATTTTTAGTAAGCAAAAATACATTCTCAGGTTTTTTGTTTTTTTTTACTTTTAGATTTTTATCAGAAATTAGGCATGGCACCTACTGTATGTATAGTTAGATAACACCACCCATCTATTCATAGCACTGCCATGTTTTTCTTATGTTCAGATGAGCAGAAGGTAAAATAGTCATGTCTCTCGGGCACTTCATGTGAGGAGTGTTATTTTGGTAACACTTTAGTATAGTGACCAATTCTCACTATTAACTAGTTGCTTATTAGCATGCCTATTATTAACATACTGGCTTTTTATTAGTTCTTATAAAGCACACATCTTTATAAGATCTACATCCCTAATCCTACCCAATACCTAAACTTAACAACTACCTTACTAACTATTAATAATCAGCAAATTATGAGTTTATTGTGGTCAAAAAGTCAGTTAATAGTGAGAATTGGACCTTAAAATATAGTGTGACCGTTATTTGTGTGACAAAAGTTTCAGTAACACTTTAGATTCGGTAACACTATTCACTATTAACTAGTTGCTTATTAGCTTTCATATTACTAGCACATTGGCTGTTTATTAGTACTTATAAAGCACATATTAATGCCTTATGCTCCATGACCATATTCTAGATCCTTTAACTAAACTTAACTACTACAAACCTTACTAACTATCAATAAGCAGCAAATTAGAAGTTTATTGAGGCAAAAGTCATAGTTAATAATGAAAATGTGTTCCGCTGTTCCCTAATCTGAAGTCTTACCTAAGTTTCTGTTAATGAACACTGCACAATGCAAGACACTGAAAATAACCAGACATGGCACAACAACCAATAAAGATACTGTATGCAGGCATTTGTGTAATTGTGTGTATCAAACCAAAAGACCCGTATCAGTTCAGTTGGCAGTGGTGGAGGTAACGAATTACAACTACTCACGTTACTGTAATTAAGTAGTTTTTTCGGGTAGCCTACTTGCACTTTTTTGAGTATATTTTTAAAGCTGTCATTTTACTTGTACTTAAGTACAAATTAAGCAAAATAATCTAATTTGTTACTTTTAAATCATAGTTTGTTTCTGAGTACGCCCACAATTTTAATTGATATTCAAACCTTTGACAGCACTTCAGTAGCCAATAAAGATATCCGAACATAAACGGAGCAATAAAAGCCCTGATATCTGAATCGGGAAAAGCCGCCGCTGCAGCAGGGTTGAAGAGCTGATCAGATGGTGAGGGAGCTCAGGGTAATTTATGGACTCAAAGTTTGGAGAAACAAACTACATGGCAGTGTTATCATAAATATCTATATTTTGATACCGATACTGATTTATCTGACACGGTTCCTGTAATGTTTTTATTATTTATTAGCTCTAAAAAGGGGAATATTTATGATGAATTATAACTGGTTATGATTCATAATAAATATTTAGATTATATCTTCGAATTAACTGTAGCAGAATCAATATTACAATTATTTGATCTGTCCGTCCACCGAGCAGACAATATAATCATTTATCAATTCAAGGAATATTTATTTTCTGGCCACGGAACAATAAACTGTCCTTCTTTGTACAGTGCTAGCAGTAATTCTTAGCCAAATGTAGCAAAGGTTCAAACATTCATTGATCTTAAGCCATAAACAGTCCAACGCTCATGCATGATCCTACGCAGACGCTACAGTTCCATTACTAATTTTCCACAGTATCTTCCGAATATACACCGATACAAGCTGTGCCTCTCTCCTCTCCGACAGTGAGTTTGACAAGCATCCGCCTTCTGTCAATTACAGAGTCTGAATGTCCGCGCGGAATTGCAGGTATTCCGCATACTTTTAATCATTCCCGCGCAAATGTGGTGAGCGCTTTATTGTAACATGAGAATACAGTCATGTAATCACAGAAAATTGGATGCAAGCTCTCAAATAGGCCTAACTTATACAAATGACCTGCCTGACCTCTCACTCCGATATTGCTTGTGCGCACTCAGACTGTGTAAATTCCCGCGCAAATGTGGTGAGCGCTTTATTGTAACATGAGAATACAGTCATGTAATCACAGAAAATTGGATGCAAGCTCTCAAATAGGCCTAACTTATACAAATGACCTGCCTGACCTCTCACTCCGATATTGCTTGTGCGCACTCAGACTGTGTGCAATCGCGATCTCTCCATGCTAAAATTTTTCCTCTTTGCTCCTGGATTAAACTTTGTCAAAATACGCCTGGCCGATGAAAATGCTACTGGAAATTTTATTGGCTGTAAGTGAAATGCATCAGAAAGTCTTTCAACTATCAAAAATGGACCTTTAATTTCTTTACAATGTAAGTATGCTAGAAATGTTTCGGAATGGGATATTTGTATGATTTGTACATATAAATATCCTAGTCTGTCTAACTGCATCACTACATTGAACAGACATTACAGGTCAAAGCAATCTGATGTTCCATTTATCTAAGCAAACCACATATATGGCTCTTAAAACACTGCCTATAAAAATTCAGTGTTGTCATATTTTGAATACCTCAACTGAATTGTTTTACGATTTTTACGGTCTCTCAAAACTTTTCTAGACGTGACCTTGCTGTATCCTCAGTGTAGCACGTCTTCTCCACTCCTCAGTTTATTGACAAAAAGTGTTTCTGTGCTTGAGTGTGTGAAGGAAGAGGGGAGACCTAACCAAACTTGCCAAAGTTGTATGTTCAGTGTATAGTTTGTACTTGCTAGACAGACAGCTTTAGATTACAGAGGACTGACCACAGTGTTTGACAGGCTGATAGAAGCGGGACATTTTTAAACTCTTCCCTCTCTCCTCATGTAGATCACACCCGTCCGTCAGGAGAGTGAGTCGAAGATCAAAGGCCTGATTCCCGCAGAGCTGCAGCAGGAGCTGGAGGACACCATCACCTCGCTTAAGTCACAGGTGATCAAACAAATACACACACCACAAGAACTCCCACTGGACACACATAAACAAATATATGTTAGTGTTTAAATTTATTTTTGTAAGGCAGGTCAGAAAAACCACCAACACAGGCACATCTGGACATTGCGTAATTTTATATACATGGACTCAACCTCAACAGATTCACAAACACACCTGGAGCACTTATACTGTATACCTGACTGCATATATATATATATATATATATATATATATATATATATATATATATATATATATATATATATATATATATAAAAAATACGT